TCCCCAAAGGAGAAGTGAATTGAGTGATCTGAAATGGTTATCCCTTCTCCGTTTTACATTTCCTTTGAAACTGACAATACAATGGGACACACAATGTGCAGATATGCACAGAGCATATACATAGGGGCAAAAGAACGGCCATTGATTTGAGTCTCAACCTGTAAAAGCTTATCTTATTTTCTTTTTGTGATGGTTAGGAAGACATATAAATGACCCCACTAGAAAGCTGCCAGGCTTTGAACTACACATCAGCAATGGACAATCCTGAATAGGATTTGCAGCTCACATGGCTGTTTGCTGGGACTCTCTGTATAAATGGGGCATAATATTGCCCCTTCAGTATGACTGAGGGTTCCCCTGTCAAAATGTAGATCACATCGTGACCAAAGACATATACCAGTATCTGATATTTTTAATATAAACAATGCTGCGTTTCAATGAGATAGTCAAGACATTGGTATTTGAACGCAGATCTTTTTTAACATTTATATTTTATTGTGTTTTACTATTGTTTTAATCTAGATGAAATGTTAATATATATTGCTAGTCCATGTATGATATGCCTTACACAAGTAAATAATTTATGATTATCTTCTTAGCCCATGCCATGGGTCACTCACATTCCATGGTTCCATGTCATATGAAGAACCTGCATAGAGAGTAGTTTAATTCCTTTGAAACTGGATCAACTATTGGAATAGTGGTTGTAGGTTGCAGTTTATAGCCATAGCTGGAGTTCACTAATGCGGTGAAGGTATGTAGATAGATAAAATTGCCACAGTGCTGTGTGAACTTCTATCAAAGGAACTCCCCCACTTAAAAGCTAGCTTACAAAGAAAACATTTAGTGTGTTGTCATGATTTCTGAAATGTCTTGCATTCTTGACATTCTGCAGGGAGCAGTGTTTGTATTTCAACATAACACTTGAAACACATCTATGATGCCCTAATTCAGTGGAGAGGAATGAAACTGGGGAAACACTTTAATTAACTTCCCTGTAGTTTGTGAAAACAGATCAGCCAAGGTTAAAAGAAGAAACAACGGAGACGTTTAAGAATGTATTTGTTTAAACAAATTTATAAAAGAATGGAGTAAAATCTAATAGTCAAATGCAACTTTTCTTGAGCAAAAAGTCATATTTTCCCTTTAGGTGGTCTGCTCGGGGGTACATGAACAGGCAAGTTTAAGGATTTAATCTTTATATTTAACTTATAACATCTATCCCACTGCAATTTTATGGCTCCTTATTATGGTGATTTTAGTATGGTTTTATCTGAATTTAATATTGGAAATAAACCCTAGGTATAGGGAAGTGTTAGTAGCACTGTATTGTGAAAGATGGAGAAACAGTGTACTGCAAAGTCTTTAGCTCTGCATAACAAAAATTCATTTTAACAGGCCATTTGGGGGACAGGGGTATCTGTCATTTCCAAATGTTCAATAAATATGAAAATATATTATGACAGCAATTTACATCTGTACAATGTTGCAGATGTTATTAAATTCAGAAGACTTTAACATAAATTTAATTGTCTTGTACAGATTAATTCAGATACAATAGATTTGCCATTTTGGGAACAGGGAGGGCTGTCTGAATGGAAATGTTTTTTTAAAAAGAATTTTTAAATCCCACCTTATATTTTTTATAAATAATTCAAGATGGCAAATATACCTTACTCCTTCTATATTTCCCACAATAACCACCTTGTAAGACGAGTTGGACTGAGAGTGATTGGCTGAAAATAACTGAGCTGGCTTTCATGCCTCAGGCACGACTAGAACTCAAGTTTCCGTTTCTAGCTGTTGCCTTAACCACTGCACCAAACTCCCATAGCATCTAAAATCCATTAAAAGGGGCTTGGTTAAATTGAGGTTTTATTGTATTCCTCATTTTATCCTACCACTCTAACCTATTGTTTGTTAATAGTTATTGATAGGAGTTCCTATTATGTGTCGGGAACATCAAGCTATATTCTTTCATAGTCATAGAAATACTGTGTTGCTATGTTTACTCTATTAAATGTATTCTCAGTGTAAAGCTTATATATATTTCTTCACTGTAGTCTGAAAATAGTAAGTTGTTAAAACAAAGCAAAACAAAACACATTACTGTAGATGTGTAAGAGAATTTTTCCTGCCACTTCCTTTCTTCGGGAGTAGAAAAAAAAACAGTACGGCATCTCACTTTGTTTCAGTAAATTATACTCTCCAGTATTTTGTACTAATGTGAACTTGTAGATAGGGCATCATCAGAATTTGGGAATCATAGGCAGATTATTGTCCCTATCTGAGGTTGTAACTGCTGCACCAGTTGTTTTTGAAGCAAAAACAAAACACTTTATCCAAGCCAGACCATCATCCTATAACTGTTACTTAGTAAGATTTTAATCTTATTAACTTTTTTGAATGATATCTTCATAATACATTGTAACAATTTTTTATTTATAATTTTAAGAAGTTAATTTTAAAGAAAATTGATTTCTTAAACCACAAATCTCGCTTGATATTTAAGTAGGGGATGGGCAACCTTTGAGGGTTTGGAAGTTGCATCTAATACTTTTGAGAGGTGAGGGCCACGAAGTACATGTGCTCCCTCAAGGGCTGAGATTTTGTCATTGGAAGGGATTTGAGGTGGGTCACATAACACAATTTGATTAGAGTAGTTTAGTGCTGACACTAAACTACTCCACACATTTCCAGTTTTGCTAAGGACAGGAAAATTTCAAGTTGACAAGGGTCAAAAAGAGGGAAATTGGAGGGCATGCATATACAGCCCCTTACGGCCATAAATTGGTCATCCCATTTATTTTAAGTCATACATATTAGAAATTAATTTTAAAATTGTCCCTATAACTCATTCTTTTGGTAGCTGGGGGAGGTTTCTAAAGTGAGAGTTGTTGCCAGAATGGGGTTAAATAAACCCAGCCTCTCCTCCTGGTAACTAGGTAACCATGAATGCTGATTTGCAATGGGAACAGAAAACGTTGAAACAGGTGCATTTTCTCTCATGGAGCCTGACATAATGGCTGGGCAGAATATCAGGCCAGGATTTCAAGGTCTGTATGACATTATTATCAGGTCACTTACCAGTCTCACAAGAAATCTGGATTATTGATGCAGACAACTGCAAATGAATTTGCAAAGTACAGGAAAATTACCTTTTAATTCAAGAAAGTGGGAGGAGTGCTAGAAATCAGTTGATCATGGCAGTATCCAGTGGATTGGGAATGCTGGCTTCCTTTTGGTCTGTTCTTTCAACTGACTTCATTACCAGCTTTCCATTGCCAGGACATTCGTAGTTATCATCAATACTGTACCGTATTTCTTTGACATCCATTAGAAATTAATGACATTAATTTAAGCTTTTAACCTAATTATTAACTGCAGTTATTTCCTCAACCTGTTTAGTCTTACCCTCCACCTTTGCTAGATAGTAGTGTAACATGCAACTGATACTTTATGCAGCAGATGAAACCACTTAAAATGTATATCTAATTCATTTCATCTTATTTAGAGTCTAAATTAGAAACTGAGTTTACAGACAAGCTAGCATGTTTATACCCTCATAGAATTTAAAACTATAATGAGAAGCCGGAGACTACCCAGATGTTCTATTCTCATCTTTTTCATTCTGGATTGGGACTGATAGGAACCAGGGATTCATGGTAGAGGTCCCCAACTCCCATCTTAAAGACCTGAATTATGATAGGTAGTATAAATTAATATCCTTGATACTTTTCAGGCTATGAAACTGGCAACTTAATTTTGCTTCTTCTAGGCATCTGCCATTATTTTTGGTACATTTAAGCAATAGGATTTAGAATATTTTTCCTTGTTAAATACAGAGTGTATCTAAATATGCCTTCATTAACACAAGTGTGTATTCTCTTTTGTTGCTAACTCATTTGAAGATGACCTCCAAGGACCATACATATGGGGATGTATTAAGAAAACTAAAAAAATGAAGGCAAAAATGTTACCCATATGTACAATAGTAACTTTTAATTTTTTTAAAAAAAATAAATTTTATTTAGCTATTTATTTAAACATTTACTAATTTTGAAAATTGCCTTATAAATGGTCTTTGGGAAAAAAATTATGTTACTTAATCTTTCTAAAGTTCTATATTATACAGACATGTAAGCATACAAAAAACACTTCTCCAAATAAGCACCTTGCCTGGATCAGGTTACTTTATCATAAAATGACTGTTCATTTGGTTCATATAAGAGATATTAGCAAACATTTTACAAATACAGTACATTGGGAAAGTAAAAACATGAATTCTGACACTACAGGACTGTACTTTAAAAAAAAAAACCCTATATTTTAGTTACATTATATTTTAATGTAACTCATTAATTAAATCAAGTACAAATTTAAAATTTGTGTTTATATATATGTATACACACACACACAATTCCAGCCCTGCCTTAGATGTAAGGCCAGCTGAGGAACTTTGGGCCAGTCATTCTCTCAGCCCAACCCAGAGTTCTGGGGAAAATAAGAGAGTAATAGTGTGCATTTGCTACCTCGAGTTATTTATAACAATAAAGGTGGGATATAAATAAAAATAAATACGCAAAGTGTAAACAAGTTCCTACATTCATGTTTATCTAAACTTAAAAACCTTTTTGCAAATGGCTTCAGCCGATGACTCTCAATGTTTTGAAAACCCTCAAAGTAGATTTAAAAAACCCAGAATAAAACTCTCTAAACCCATCCCTTATGTTATAAATTAGTCAATCCTCATACTCTCAGTAGAAATAATACGTAATTTCAACAGTAGATTAAGTCAAGCCATTTGAATAAAATTAGACATTTTGGAACAAGCAGAATTTTTATAAATGGTACTTAGAATGTAAGAATTATGAAGGATTTAAAAATAATTATTTCAACTGTATTTTTACAGGCTTCAGGGTTGGATGGTTGGCATCAGCCTGTGTAATTGTGGTTTTGAGTTTTTATGTTGTTTTTATGTTATTTTAACTGTTATCTGCCTGGGGTTGCTACAGCAAGATGGATGGTCATTCAAATTGAAACAATAAAAATAAAATAAAATGTTTTGCTATAATATTTCTGTTAATTTCCTAAAGGTTGCAGAACAATCTTATCTGGAAGGGCATTGATGCAAAGGAGATCCAAATCATTTTTCTACCTATTCTGTGGTGGAATATACATAAGCGATCCAGATTTATCAACAGGTAAGGATATAGGTGATGTCATAAAGCTTTGCTAAGGTCCACAAAACAATAATCCTGAATAGTTGCTGTCCTACCAATTTATCAACAGGGAAACAAATGGAATCCACAAATGAAGAGCTGTTCCCAACAATGCAAAATCTCTGAGTTGCACATACTTGTCCACTTTGCCAGGTGTTTTTTTCAAGCAGAATCTTTCTCCTTTTACGTGATTGGATTTATTGCAAGTGAATTTATCATCCTGAAATGTTTACATTTTTTATACTATAAATGAATTAATTCCATGCAGCAAAATACCCAAAGCATCAGATTTTTGAAAGGCAAATACAGAGATGTTATCTAAAAATAACCCAATTTCTAGAGTTACATATTATATGCCATATATATTGTTATCTCAACATTTTTAGAGTATCTTTAGATACTCTGATTCCATTGCTAATAATTATAGACGTTTGCTGATTTGGATTACTCTTATAAATGTAAAATCAGGTTTTAATGAGATCTTTGCTAACACCACCCTCAACTTCTACAGTATTAGTTAAGGATAATTTTACATCACACTGGTAAGAATCATTTTAACAGCGTTAAGATTTCCTACACAATGTTCTCGACTTTGTGTAATGTGTTTTACAAGTAAATAGAGGTAATAGCAGACTCCTCTTTATGGACCTGCAGATTTAGTTCAGTAATAAATAACAAATGAATTTGTAAGCTACCCAAAGCCACCTGTTTGTCAGTTGGATAGCCATATAAATGTGTATAATGAAATAAGTAGTTCAAGATACTCTGTATTTTCCTTTACTATAAACTTTGAATTGATTACATGAGCCACTTAACCACTATGACCAAGGGCATCTGTATCAAGCCACAATGGTGCAATTACTCTATGCAATTATATTTAAGTACCAAAATCATGTAATATGCATATTGACATCTTAATGCATGTGTCATTTGCCACTCTAATCCCCCATGAATATGATTGTAAGAATCTATCCTCTTCAAGAGACCTGGGAACAAATACTGTGTTTGCAGTTCATTCTATCCCATAATATTTTTAAAAAAATTGTTTGAACAATCCATACTGACCAAAATTTGTATCATCATAAAGCATAATGGCTTACTAGACGCATGTTAAGCCAGAGGAAAACCACATTAATTAGCTCGTTGGGGAACACAGAGTTGCATTCTAAAGCCAAACATTTTTTTTATCTAATGCCAAATAAAATCATTATTCACATCCATTAATCACATCCATCATTATTCACAGCCAGCATAGGACAATGTACATAAGCCAGTATCTTTCTCTACTTTGAGTGGTTCCTTTCATGTTTAAGGTAATGATGCTTTATGAAAAATGTGGATCACTGAGAACTCTAGAAAATGAGATTATAAAACGTATGTACTGATGCACTAGCTGTTTGAAAGCTCCATTTACAGCAGTCCTGTCAAAACTGGTGGCCCACGGGCTGGATGTGTCATACCTACCTCAGCTCCACAAAGGCAAAAAACAGCACATGATGTGATCGAGTTTGACACCCATGATTTATAGTATTTCTATATAAAATGGATCGACAAATGTTTATAAGGTAGCTGAATAAAACCCCAAATATCAGAAAACCATCATATGCATGATTATTAAGAGCACCAAAATGTCATACTTTAATATGTCTGCTTATATTGAAGACTTTTTTCTATTTTTTTCCTTATTTTTTAAAGCCACATTTTTAATGTATCTGAAAAATGTGCAGTTAATTAAGTAATTTTCCAGGGGGTAGAAAAATGGCACATACTTTACTCCTAACAAAACAAATGTAAAAATCATAAAATTATGCAAATTTATTTATAGAAGGGACAAAATCTGTTTTCCCACTGAAATTTAATACTCTGCATGACCACTCAAACCAATGTATGATAAAGAAATATTCAAGATAGGAAAACAAGCAAAGCTGTAACTTACTGCTTCCTTAGCATGGAAAAGACAAGCTATCATTCTATCATATTCACTGAATATATTCACTGCTTAAATTTCAGTTATTTGTAAATCAGTATCAATGTTGCAAGGATGCAATCTGACTGTTCAAGAGCATGTCTTTCACCTACTTTTCTGCAGGATTTTTTTCCTTTGGTTCTCTTTCACAAATTGGTCCTGCATAAACAAAGTTAAGTAGTATTCACACACAGTAATGCTACTGCTGAATTTCTAATAAGAAGCTATAATGACAGCTACAGTATTGTTTGGTTTGCCTTCTAGGTACAATACTTCATATATGTATTAATCAATAAAGATAAAGAACGGAAGGAGTTCAAATTATGAATCAGCATTATAGTAAGACCTATTGTAACCACAGAAACTGTAGCAAAATCTTTTCAGGGATTGCTGAAACAGAGACAACATTTCTCTATCAAGTATATTTTTAGTGAGATCATTAACAGGAAAATTGTGATTCACAACCACTGTTTCTATGATTGCAGCTTCATCTACCAGTATTAAAAAATGATTCACATCAAGCCATTTCTTTGGCACTCTAGCAAAATTTCAAAGAATCAGTAGAAACTTTCCAGCAAATAAGGAATTCAAACCAGGATCATTAGCCACTATTTTTTTCCCCAATTTGAGGATTCTAACTTGTTGTGGAAAGCAAATAGGTGTAAAATCTTTTTAAACCACTACTTTTATTTAACTGATAGAAATAGTACAAATTTTCAATTCAGCTGTAATATAACACCAAAAAGTCCTTTCTGGATGGCTACATCGTCAATTCCTGGAAAGAAACAGAAAAGAGCAAGTGAGAAACAATCTTTTTGTTTATTCCCTTAGGTGGTGGGATGGGAATGTTCACAGCAAATTGTTTAGCCACCCAGCCCAGCCAAATGACCCTGAGGGCTATTATTGTAACTGCCTGTGAGGTCAAGGAACAGCAAGGGTACAATTGTTGCTGTGACAAAGCACAGGCAAAGATACAGTGCCTAGTTCCTGAATAGTTGCCTAGGATATAACATTGAGCACCAAGGCATTTATGTAACCCCCGAGGAAACAATATTGCTGCATTTGTATTAGAAGCTTAAGGAGGTTTAACTGGACTATCTGGAAACAGATGTTTCTCCTATAAGTCACTTCTCTGTTTCACTGCATAATCTATAGCAGTTAACCTAATTTTTAGAACATATGGCATCTTGATATCCATTTCCCTTGTATTCTAACAATTACTAGCAAACATACTGAATAAAAACAGAACATTATTCTTGTAATGAGCTGGATAATCAAGTGAAATAACCACTTAATATGCCGATGGTCAATTCTCCCAACTATCTTCTACATTTTGGGGTACAGTAGCCTAGTCACATATAGCACTCAATCATGCACTTACCATAATTGCATTTACGATATCATTACTGTTATTCTTTAGGGCACGAACTGCTTTTGCCCGGGAAACATTTGCTTGGGACATAACTAATTCAATGTCTTTCACCTCAACACCAGTCTCATCAACCTGGAAGGAAGAAGATAGATAATCTCTCAAGGCATCTGCCAGGTTTTTCTGTCAATCAGGAAAGTATTACTCTTTAATCCTCAAGATTTAACAGTAACTATAAGAACTTCTTAAGATGCCACAAAATATAGCCTAATGAAACCTTACAGATTGTTACAGACATTTTGGTAACTTTAAAAAACTCATGTTTTCATTTTTCAATCTCATGAGTAGAACGGAATAACGAGCTTTCCTGGACTGGTGAAAAATATACCAAAATAGAGAGTTTGTTATAAAATCCAGGGAAAACAAATCAAGAAAAAGAGCAAAATGGAGACTCATTGCTGTATGTAATTGTGCTCAAGCACAATTATAGTTATTAGGATCATGCACGGCAGATAACTTAGTTAACAAATGGATGCCTCTAGCAAAAATTCACTAGAGATAACAACCAGCACTGTTTTTTAAAAAAAATTCACAGTATTCCATTCAGATGCTGGAAGGGAGATACTGAAGGAGAATATTCATTGATAAATAGGGTCAGTTTCTTTCTGCCTGCCACTTAAACAGAAGAAAATATTTGAAAATTATATTTGAAGATTCAAAAAGGATGTTGAAAAGCTGATAAGTTAAGTGGTATAGCACTTTCCTGGTTGCAAGAATAGAGGTACATGTATACTGTAAGTACTACCGTGACATAACCATGAAAGAAATCTGGAATGAATTATATCACCTGCCTATTGTGGATCTGGAGATATAAAGGAAGCTAGATGTTTACAAGAGATGGAGAAGGTCAGCATGGGCAGGCCAGTATACATAAATAAGATACAAAGCAGTATCAGGCTCTTTTTCTCACTGCCATTTCAGTTTGATACCTTTTTTTAGCCGGATACTACCCTCAGTAAGTAATTTTATATCCACAGGTAGGGTCTTCTAACCATACATGTTTCAGCAGACAAAATTAGCAGCAGTGATTTAGCATAAACTGCTAGATGCATGTCTCAAACTTCCTGGAAAGTCCACCTCACACATTCAAGAGTGATGCTTACCTCCTCCTCCTCACTTTCTTCTTGTACAGTAGGAGTCTGTGTGTTTTCCTGAATGTTTGAAATAGCTTCTCCTTGCACTTTAAATTTCTCAGCAGCAGCCAGCTGTGCTTGCTGAGAGAGATCTTCAATCTGGTAGAAATGGATGAGGGGGGGAAAAAAAGCCAATGACTTGTAGATTTTTTGATTATCTACAATCAGGTAGTTTATAACTGACAATGCTAGTGCAATGCACGCAAAGAAAGCAAAATAGACAACTTTATAAATAGTGATACTGATAGGCGCTGAAGTTTGGAATGAATTCTTCCCTTTCACAAAAATTTTAACCCTTCTCATGAAACAAACCACACTGATCCATATGAACCTGTTGTCAGAAAAGTCCTGCAGAACAAATGTTCTTTGTTTATTTGAATGGTAAGCCCAAAATTCTAACTGGTAGCAAATCTACTGATAGTTGCAGAAACAAATGGTAAAGACTTCCTTGCTGGGGATTCCCTAAATTCAGCTTACCTTTGCTTCTCCAAAAACTATATAGGTATCCGACGCAGGACTTTTATATACATCTGGCTTGGTGATGACAAAAAGGATGTTCTTGGATTTCCTGATGGTAACTCTGGTTACACCTGTGACCTGACGAAGGCCAAGCTTGGACATTGCCTTAAAAACAAAACATAATTGTTCGAGGAAAAGATTTAGACACAGAGCACCTGAGTTAGACTAGTAAATGAATTGCAGATAATGAGGCACAGTGAGATCAGAACACTGGACTTATCAAAAAGGTCCCTTTTCTACAGCAGGTGGCCTGGTTTTCACGATTCCTTTCGTCATGTGGGGAAAAGTCTAATTCATTGCAAAATTACTCCTAGTATTTTATTTCATTATTTAATTTATATAGCCACCCACTTCATACCTGTGACTCTGGGTGGCTTACAGTAAAATAGACAAAAGCTATTAAAATATATAAAAGTGCATGGCAGCTGAACTTCATAAAGTAATCGTCAACAAAGCCAAGAGGCAGCCTCCATCACAGTTTCGGGTTCCAGGCTGGGCACAAACCTAAGTTTTCAATTTTAAAAAAGGCCAGCAAAAGGGTCAGGCCTAAGGGGGAATAAAGTTCCATAGTTTAGGTGCCCTGGCATTAAATGCCTTCCTCCTGCATCCTACCAGCTTATACCTGCTCAACTGATGGCACTCAGAGAATGTCCCTCCTGCTGGACTGGATGGGTACAAACAATTGGGGAAAGATAGTCCCATAAGTTAACACAGTTGTGAAAGGCTTTAAAGGCAACTACCAGCACCTTGAATTGTGCCCAGAAGCCAATGCAACTTGAGAAGCACATGCACTGAAAAAACAATGCCATTAACTATCTGTGCCACTGCATTTTGCATCAGTTGAGGCTTCCAATTATTCCTCAATGGCTTCATGTACAGCATATTGCAATGGTTATGATCTGGAGGTCATAAGGACTACAAGATGGCCAGTGTAATGGAAGACACACTCTTTACTGTTTGATGAACGTAGAACACCTAAATAATCCTTTCCTGAAAGGGAAATGGCACCTCCCTCTCAAAACCCAGAATTTTGTGCCAGTGATGTGGTCAACCATGGGTTCTCTCTGTTTCACCTTCTATAAAATAAAGACTGCACTTCAGAGCTTGATTGTTTTTAGAAAAAGACTTCTTTGGGCACAAAAATTCCCTGAAGAGAAGCCAACAGAGATGTATTCAAATATATTCCTTTCTCTGATATTATACAAAAATTTGAAATTTTTGACAAGTTGAGTGTAAAAGTTTATCTCATGCCCTAAACATTTCCTAGTAGGACAAGCAGGGGCTTTGCCAAAAGGAAACGGAAGTAATGGGTTCATTGGTATCTTCTAACTCACCTTAAGCCCTCTTTCGATCAACAGCTTTTGCAAAATAAGGATGTGCTGTAAGAAATGACTTGTAGAAACAGCAACAACAAAAATCAAAGTTTTAAGAGTTGCAGTAGAACAGGCACTGCAAGACAACCCTAGCTGGTATATGTTTACATGATTAAAGATTCAGGGGTACCAACAGTTTTTGTTGGCTGAATCAAGCAAGCCACCAGGAACTGTTAATTTAATCTTACCTTCCGTGCTTTCTTTTCACTCCGGCTCTGTTTCGCTTTGCTAACTGGTTCTTCATCTATTTCAGCTGCTGCTGCAAGCTGCCAAGAACACCACATGCTTTTTAAAAAATGCTGATCATCATGAGAATGTACATATGCGCAACATCACCAAAAAGCCTCCAGATTAAAATACAGGGCCAGAGTTTTGCCAGACAACTCCCAGTTTGTTTAATTACTCCCAGCTTCTTGCACAACTTCAAATACTGAACTGTTATTTCTATACCAACTCAGATCACAATGGTCTGTGGAGAAGCAGGTTTATTAGATAGTGTTCCCTGTGCATTCTCCAGAAGAGAAACAAGTTCTGGGTAAAACTGAGCGAGGTCAGATATAGGATGACAAACATTACAATCCACAGCAGGGAAATTCCTCATTTACAATATTATCTATAACTACAGCACTCAAAATGCTAAAACAAAGCCAACAACAACAAAAAAGATAATGAAAGGAAAAAGAAGCAGGGCATAATGAAAAACTCAAGAATAGCAATAGCTGTATCTCCATATTTTGGAAAAAATATATAGCAGAAACAAATTCAAGAAATTGCCCAGTTAGCATCCATTGTAGTTTATCTCTCTAACTCCTGAAATGTTCTGTTCTTCGCATGATTTATTCAAAAGGAAAACACCCACTTTTCACGATGTATTACATATATTGGATATTCTTCCCCTAATTTCATGTTTGAAAATCGTAGCATATCAATTTTAGATACATATCTATTGTATTTACCATTTCTCTAACTGGTATAGACAACATGGATAAAAATTGTGTTATAACTATGGCACAAATTAGAATGTGCACTAATGTGCAAAACTAATTATTGCAAATCAGGGTACACAACTTTTTTTTTGAGCTGAGGTCTGCACATTGCCTTTGAACTGATGGATACAATTAAAGCTAGGAACAGGGCAAAAACTAAAGTTCCACTGAGCTGATCATGGCTAACTTTTCATAATTCTCACTTCCACGCTAGGTAGGAGGCGATACATGAGAAGAATTGAGATGTAGAATGAGTAAGCATTATCCAAACCTGATATTGCTGACCCTGACTGAGTAGCTGTTCAATTTTTTTTTTATGTTGCATGTTATTTTTAAAGAGTAGTTGAAAGTGTCAGCCTCTCAGCAGCTGGGAGTCCATCAAAGATAGCTACCATCTGATCAGGATATTGCAGAACATCTATTATTAATTAGCAGGTAAGTGTTTACCTTGGTCAGAAAAGCACAACTGCAGTTATGCCAATGTAATAGTATCATCTCCTTATGCATTTACTAATTTTCTTGGTCTTAATAAAAATTACAATGCGGTGGCTAATTTTGGAGAGTGCCAGGGCTACATCCCAGGATTTAGAGAGTGGTGTTTACATGCAGCTTAGATCTCAAGTTGTGATCACCTGTTATAATGGATGTTTTGAATATTGTGGTGTTAGATCTTACCTAACTAAATTATGTATTCACAATTGCTATGTGAGTTTTTTGAGGTTAAAATATACTTACTTTTACAGCCCGGCCCAAGCATATGAAATACAGTTTATAGTGTTCTTCGTTCCTTTTCTCACCTGCGCCTGCTGTGTGGTGGCCTGCGTGGAGTCCTGTTCTTCAAGTTCTGGCACTGATTCATCGCTGTCGGATTCTGTTCCAGAACCTACAGAAATCAACACACATAATTTCTTTCCAACTTGGTCGCTCTTGGGAGTGGCAGGCAGGCCCAGGCAAAACATGCAGAGCTTTGCAGCTTGGTTCATGAAGAAACTATTGTTCTTTTATTGTGCCAACATTGTTAAAAAATACTTTGAAGCCAACATACTTCAGAAATGTCTGATAGTAAAAGAACATATCCCCAACGTTCTCCACACACATAGAAAAGAAGTAATTTGTAGACAACAAAATTCTGAAATGGCAGTGATTTAATATAATAGTGGTTTAACTTATGTGGCAATAGGGCAGGGAGTTTATCTTTGTTCAATCAAGGTTCCCAGGAAGAACAAGTTTCTTAGAGCAAGATGTTAATCACATTCTCAGGGTAAGGATATTGTTTGATTTAACTAGTACTTTAAAAAAAAAGAACATGACAGTTTCATTCTGGCATAATTTGGCCCATGATTGTAGACTAGAAATATGCTATGGACCTGAACACCTTTCCTCATTATACATAGTTTCCCTTCCTTTTCACAATTTGTGAGACCTAGGATCTAGCATGATGTGTACACAGGACAAACAACAACTAGCACCAATTAAGACTGCTTCAAAGTGGATTCAGACATCCATGTTTTAATTATGAGTTACTGAAGCAGCTGGGTACACACATGGTAAGCCAAAGAAATATCGGTTTAGTACACAGTATTTCATTCAGAAGTATGGTTTAAATTTGTTCTGGCAAACTGGTTATCCTATATTAAAGAACAAAGGAACGCGAGCAAGAGAGAGGAAGATGAAGAAAGACTGCTCAAGTTCATGGCACGTTCCCAAGGTTTTAAAACAACCAAATTTATGAAAGATGTTTGCAAGGACTAAAGTGAACACTAATTGATTACTCACTTAAAAAGTAAAAATATTTTAAAATCTTGTAATTATTTTGTATTTGTATCTTTCAGAGAGATAACTTCAAGACAATCCTCCCCACCACCATTATATGAGTGCCATCTCTGGATGCAAGTTTCAGTGAACTGCTAGCTCACATGCCTTAACATCTGCGTGACTACAATGCAAGAAGGGAATAAATGTGATTACTGACAAGAAAGAATGTTCAGGGCAGAGTTTTTCTGGAACAATCACAACTGATATCCCCTTCTGTCTCACTAATACTATGTTAATTCCAAGTGATGCTAAATCCTGACACCTTTACCCCAAATTGCATATGCATGTGACTACATTTAAGTGACTGAAAACTGGACAGAAATACCAGACTACTCATTTCTACTCTCTAACAGACAACACATGAATTTAACACACAGTATATGCAAGTATTTAACAGAAAGCTTCCTATTTATACATACCCACCCAAAATGCAGTTGCAAATATAGACACTGAACAATAAACTGAAGGAGGACATCAACATTAGACCACAAATTCTTCTAGAATGAGGGTAAAATACCACCTCGTAGCACAGAAAATATCATGAAATGCATCTGCAATTAACAAAATCTACTAGATATGCAACCACAGGCAAAACACTAGAAACAAAAAAGCAGGCTGAAATGAGAGTATGCCATTGAAAACAAAGAGGTGATTACAGTTTCTAGGTTAGTTCTCTCTGAGATATCAGCTCAGACAAGGCTTATGACACATCTATTAAACAGACACATCATGCCCAGTGATTCAACTTTCACATTAGTAGTGTATGCTCTTAAACATAAATCACGAATCACAGTGCGCACAACAAATTTCAACTATGATAACTTAATCTAGGTTTATTTTGATTTAGTAAATTTTAAATCCTAAATGGCGTGTTTCTAGTCTAACAGTGAAAGCAGAGGGAATTCACACTCCATGCCTGAACAACTAAGTTAGTATTCAGTGAGTGGTGTTTGATATCCATGCACACAGCAAACCAAAGAGGCAAATACCCTTGTCATTCTTCAGGAAAGGCTGTTTGACAGGAAGAGGAGGAGGTGGTAAAGGAGCAGTTGCTGGAACCTCAGCAAGGGGCACAGCTGTCTTAGGAGAGAAGTCCACCAGGACTGGCTGCAGAGGTGACTCCTCAACATGTACCTCTGGAGGGATCAAGGGTGGCAGCTCGTCGTCTTCAAAGGTAGTAGAGATAGGGCTGGGGGTAACTTCAGGTGCTAAACCAGGTGCAGGTGCAACAGGGGATGGCTTGGGAAGCACAGAGGAAGGCTCTAGCTTTTTCACAGGGGTAGAAGGAGAGGGTGCAGGAGAAGCCAACTGAGTGAGACTGCTTGCAAGAGGAGGAGTAGAAACAGAAAGATCAGCAGGTGCAAGAGGCAAAGGTGCCATTTTCTGGGAAGGCATCGCCTCCCCAGTTGAAATGGAAACCTGGCTCATGTCTAAGGCAGAGACAGGGGGCAATTTGGGGCTAGAGACAGGACTAAGGGTTACTGGAATAGAAAATGCTGCTGCAGGGGAAGTGGGAGGAGTCACTGCAGAAGACAGCGGCGCAATGCCAGGAGGAGGGATGACAGAGGCTACAAGGTCAGGAGAGGAAAGAGGTTTAGGAAAGGTAGCAGGGGTTCCAGGAACGGTCACTGGTGCAGGCACCACAGAGGGTGCTGTGTGAGAAACTGCCATTGTTGGGCCCACAGGAGAAATTATCGGGGCAGGTGCAGCTGGTGTCACTGAAGCTGAAGCAGTCTCTGCTACAACTATAGGTGATGCCTGAAGTTCAGGAGGAGGTACCTCAGAAGCTGCTGCTGGATGGGAGGCAGGTGCCAATGAGCTAGGAGTAACCCCTTCAGAGGCCACAGGAAGGGCTGTGGATCCAGAAATAGGTGCGGGAATATGGGCAGTAGGTGTTGCAGGACTAGAAACATACTCTGCCATAGACAAAGAGCTAGAAGCAAGTTCAGAAGTTGAAAATGGCTTCATAGCAGATGCTGGTGAGACAAGAGCAGGCTCTACTGCAGCCACAGGGCCAGAAACAGCTGCAGGCTGAGAAACAGGTATCCCTGGAGTTACAGAAGCAGATACTGAAGGGGCAGGAGCTGGTTCCAAAACAGATGGAACCATCTTGGAAGCAGGTGGCGAAGGGCCTATGGGAGGCATTACTGGACTAGAAACAGGGGCTGAAAGGGGAGCAGCTTCCACAGGGGGTCCTGTAGGAGTCACAGGACTAGATACAGTTTTCACAGGTTGCCCTTTGGGTAGTCCTGGAGCAGAGATTAGTCCTGATGCTGTAGCAGAAGGGAAAATGGGCTCAGGAATAGGCACCGAAGGAGGAGATTTCATTGGGGGTGATGGAGGAAGCGGAGGTGTAAGTACAGAGCCTGATGAGGACACAGGATCTGAAGAAATTTCTGAAGAGGAAGCCGATTTTACAGAAGGAAGTACCGTACTCAGTTCTTTAGGCTTAGACACTGACGTGCCCAGTGAAGTAGAGCCAGAAATAGGAACTGAAGTGGGACTCTCTGGCTGTGAAGAAAGTGGCATAGGACTGGAAGGGCCTATTGGTGTTACAGAAGGGGCTACAGACCCAGAAGCAGGCTTCATTATTGGACCTGCTGTGATTATAGCATCAGCAGGATGTTCTGAGGGAGAAGGAGGTTTCACAGGGGACTTGGCAGGAGCCATCTGTTTAGAAGCCAACATTGCTTTGTCTAGAGAAGTAGTTACAGAGTCGGGAACAGGTGCCAAAATAGGAGTTTGTAGCTGGGAAGAAACAGATAGTGGACCAGACACAGGGCATACTTCTGGGGCTGCAGGACCAGATGCCAATTTCACAGGTGGTAGAGAACCAGAAACAAGTTTGCCATGAGGACCTTCAGTTAACAATGGTGTAGGAGCAGGCTTTGCTGGGGACATGATACTGGATTCAGGACCAGAAGTAGACTTTGCAGGTGGTATTGCGGGAGAAAGCTTTGCTGGAGATAAAGGATCAGCCCCAGAAACTTTAGGAAAGGAAGCCGGGATCTCAGAACTGGAAATAGGAGCCAAAGGAGTCACAGGATGAGATGCAGATTCTGTAGGTGACCCTGCAGGACATCCCGGAATTGATACAGGCATTGGAGAAATGATGGGACTGGGAACGGTCATAGAATCAGGAAGAGATGGAACAGAGCTGATGGGTATGGAAGACTGGCGAGGGGGAAGAAAGGATGAAATGTGAGCCACTGGATCAAGAGTAGGGGTTGCAGTGTTAAGGATAGGAAGTGTTGGTGATAAGGCAGGAGCACCTGCAGAATTTGGAGGGAAAGGAGTTGGACTAGAGGGTGAAGCCACAGTAGGAGCTGGAACTTCAGCGGGAATGGGAGCTGTAGTCATAGGAGGAGACACAGGAGCAATTGGGAGAATGAAAGGAACTGGGCCAGGAGATGATGGAACTGGAGAAACTGAGGCTGCAGAAGTTGTCCCTGCTGGGCTTATAGGAGATGTTGATGGAGCAGAAGTAAGGGATTCAGAGGAAATTCCTGAGGCTGGGGGAGAAGTTACAGGCCCTAAAGGTAGGGGTATACCAACAGGTGCAATACCAGCCATAACTGGTGGTTTCACGGGAGAAAGGGTCTGAGATAACATAACTGAGTCAGCAGAAGACAAGGCAGCATCAGGAGTGGCTTGTACCGTAGAGACAGAGGTAACCAGTTCTGGTGGAATAGTAAAGGGACAGAGGCTAGCAAGGGGAGAGTTAGCATCACGGCATGAAGAGGAAGGGTGGAGGGGGCTATAAGTAGAAGAGGTGGAAACAGCTGCTAAAGGAGAAAAAGTAAATCAGCATTGGAAAAAGAACACGTAGGAAGAAAAATGAAGTTATCTATAAAGCCTCCCACATAGAAGCGCTATTACTTGTAAGGGAGAAATTATTACAGCTGTTGCCAGAAAATATTTTTTTTCTCCCATCCCAAGCAACTTTTCGTGGACACTTATTTATCTTTAGCCAATATATCATTGGCTTGCTCTTGTGTACCATATTGTATTATATTACTCTTTATTATGTAAAATATTATTTTAGTGTATTCCAATTTGGCAGCATGCACATTTGATGAATAAAACAAAACTGTCTTTGCAGCCATAACATTTCAGAAAGACTCAACATTTCCCATGAAGACACATGTAGAATTAAGCACTCGAAAAGCAAAAGTATAAATGTTCTTTGAGTTGAACTCATTTCCTAGTTACTTTAGAGAAATATCCATGTAATTCTTTCTTTTGAGATATTACTTTCTTATTCTAGCCATTTCTCATAGTTTCCCACCCAACTTAGTTTTTTTGACATCAGCTAAAGTCAGCTTGATGCTGCCAAATAGCCGGGCAAACTACTATACCATAGCTAAGCTATTCAGGTAGTCGTTGATTAACAACAGCCTAATTCTGCATCTCTTCAAACTTGCGTACAGTCTTGAAAAAGTAGATTATGACCGGTCCTCAAAATTATGGGTGTTGCAGTATTCTCAGTCATTTGATCATGACTTGGGCATTTTGAAACTGGTGGGCATCTACAATGGTCACAGCATCCCATGGTCATAGTATTGCTACTTGTGGCTCTTACTGGCATACTTACTTATTGACAAAGTCAATGGGGGAAGCTGGCAATAAGCCACAAGTTGTGGTCATGTGACATCAGGTTTAATTTGCTTAATAACTGCAGTGGAACTGTGTCAGTTGGATACAGTCATGTGAAGTTTCACTTAACCACATTGCTGAATGCTAGAATTGTCAGTCCCAATTTCGGACATTACGTGAGGGTTAATTGTAGTTATCACTCCTGGCACAAATGAATCTTACCATAAATCCAACCCTTTAATATGTGCTAATAATCTTTTATTTTTATCACTTTCATTTTAAGATAGTAAACCTGCTAGTTCAGGAAACAAGTTGCAGCATTTAAGCTTGAAGCATTCAGTCTTCTGTGGTGCACAGGAATTCAGAAACTTTTGTCATCTTTTTAAATGAGGGAAGCCTCTGTGATTTCAAATTAAGTTTATTGCAGAAGCCTCAAGTAAATCAAATCATACTGTATCAATATGAAGCATCCCCATTTCAGGCAAAGCATTATAATCTATGAACCCAGGCATCTGATAAGCTAAGCTAAGGACAGAACTTGAACATAGTTTTGGAGCCTGGGTTCAAGTGCAGTGATACCAACTACCATCCACTCCCATCAGACTGTATGCCATATTAAAGTAACTATATTAGTCCAACACCATAAATATACTGTTTAAAATGGCATATGCTAAGAACAAATACCTGATGCTAGAATGGGAGGCTGAGAACAGACTGGAGGTGCTTCAGCAGCACCAGGAAAAGAAGCAGGAATGGCAGATGCTGAATGAGCAAAATCAACAGTTATTAAACAACACATCGATAAAACAGGAGCTAGAACAACTGAGAAGATTCTATTGTTTCAGCTCGATCAATACAACCAATAAGACCTTCACAATTAAAGAACTTTGGATCAATTCATGGAAGTTGTGAGGATTCAAGGCTATTAGTTTTGATGGCACTGTAAATGCCTCTGAAGCCAATCTACCAAGAGACTATGGGCTTCCTTCTACAGTTGGCTGATTTTGAAAACAGATTGCTGGACTAGATGAGCCAGGGTTGTGATCCAATAGGCCACTTGCCTGTGTTCTTATATACTTCACATACAACAGAAAAGCAAATCATTTGTGCATTAGTGACCTGCAAGTCTCTTTGGTGAAATTATATAGAAAAAGCCAGAAGTGTGGGACAAGGAATCTGATGTGACTTAAGGGCTCTGGTAACTTCAAATCTTCCTCTAGTTTATTTTATTTGACTTATTAATAGAACTTTTATGGCTACCTAACTCATAGGGACTCCAGGTGGCTTACACAAGTAAAATCCCAAATACAAATCCCAATATACAGTACATTACGTTGGACTGACTTTTCCAAACTAAAGCCAAAAAAAAAAAAAAAAGAGGAGAAAGTAGTTTTATAATGAGGATTTGCAATTTCATTTTAAAAAATAATACAATCAAGAATCCTTTATTCCTTTATCTAGATTAATGAGTCAGCTGAGCAAAACCTTTTGCTAGTGTAATAACTCTAACAGTGTGAGTTGGGATGACAACAGGACTGGGATGACATCCAGAATTCAAGGCAAATATAGCAAGAGTGATGTAAAAGCTAGATCAAGCATGTGCACAGACTATATCAGTATGGAAACCAAATCTATGAAACTCAATCCTATTCCATCTTGAAGTGTATGCCTTTCTGCTGCTTGCACTTAAAGCTCATATCTTAATTCAAAATATTCCAGAAAAAATGCTGGAATCCACAAGATGGAAGGGATTAGCCTCAATCTCGTCATAACTGGCTGTTTTATAAACTATGAACTCACCTGGTCTTAATCCTCTATTTTTCCATTAGGCAAATATAAGAGAGAAGGCAAAAAGGCACACTTAACTACTCTTAACAGCTCATTTAATAAGGAAAACAGTCACATTAAAAGATTAGTGCTTCATGTCAATGCCTGTGCATCAAATCTTAGCAAAACTGGTGCAGCAGTTATAAGACATGATCGTAGGAGAATTGAACATATATTCCAAAATAAAGAGTAAAAAAAGTTCTGGAACAAGGTAGCAAAGCAGCCCAGGATACATATACTTTCTATGTACAAGAAAGTGATAAGGTTCATCTTAGTAAGTAGAACTATTTCTCCATGAAGGACTGTACATAGACATGAGTCTAGCATTAATTTGAAAGGATTATTTATTGATGCTTCCACCATTAGAAACATTTTAGAAAAGATTAAGATACAACATTTCATCTGATTTTCCAAATAAAATGCCTATTGGAAATGAAAGGAGGCAAACCTAGTACGAATAGTCCTGGACTTACAAGTCACTTAGCAACCATTTGAAAGTATAACAGACCCCCCCCCCCAAAAAAGGTACTTGTGACCTGGATTCAAAGTTCCGATGGCTGCCCCCCCATCATGTGATCTCATTTTGGGTGCTTGGCAACTAGCCCACATTTATGGCTATTGGCAGTGACCTGCAATCACATGACCATGATTTATTACTCTCTCTCTCTCTCTTTTTTTTTTGCCAGAAACTGGCATTGACTTCTAGCTTCTGGCAAAAATGCCCATTGAGGACAATGGGTTTGCTTAATGACCATGAATTCACTTAATGATTCTGGTGATTCCCATAATGACTGCTGCAAAATGTGTTTTAAAATTGGGTCAGTCATGTGATGACCCATTTAACGACTGGCACAATTTACAAATGTCATTCCGGGCTTTCAGTTATGAGTCAAGGACTATTTGTAACACTTTAGGAAAGGATCAAATACAGTAATGAACAGCTGAAGAGCGTCTATTGTTTTTTCAAATTTCTGCAATTTATCAAGAAACAGGAAGAATCAAATCTAAGGCATCAGATTAAACAGAGCTGGCATTTCAGAAACACTGGTGTGTTACAGTGTTTTTCTTTCATTTTAAGTCAGATGTTATGCGTGGCAATTCTAGTCTGCTGCTTTAACTTCAGACCTACCTGAACACTCTAAAGCAGTCCCAGCCTGAGAATCCTTGCCTCCTACCTCAGGATTCTTGGCAGCAACTGGCTTGCTCATCGTTTCCATGGGGGCCCCAGGAGCTGGAGCTACAACAATAGTTTCAACCATTCAGAAATCCTACAAGGCCGCTATATATGCCTTTTGAGGTCAGCTGCTCAAGTGTAAATATATTCAATCATGCAGAAAGATGTGAGTTAAACTCAGTTGCAAAAGACAAAAAGCACAGGAATAAAAAAAAAAACACTATAGAAAATGTCAATTCCGTTTATATTAGAAACGAATTTGACAAATCAAATCATCTTTCTAACCAAATTAGTGCCATTGTACTGGCAGTACTGGCAGTTTTGAAATGGAAACCGTCTTCATGGTTTCCTCAGATTGTGACAAGATGTTTACATGCACTCATTTGAACTCAAGTTAACAGCAGCTGCTGAATGTTAATAATGATGCATCAGAAGCCAATCTAGATGAACTCATGGTGCGTTAGCAGGCATGAATACAACACTTCAACATAGGATAAAAGCCAGGAAAGGATAACTTTAAAAAAAAAAAATCGTCAGAAACCGCTTCCTATAATATATACTGAAAACCAAAGTAGCTTGTTTAGATTTGAATTATCAGCTAGAAATCCATTTTGGATTTAGAATGAGTTTTTTTCCCCCCTGTACCAGAGATAGGCCAGTTTAAAACCAATCCTTGCATTTTTTATCTTTGCAGGCCTGTGAAGCGAAGCAAAGCTGAAGATTATAAGCAGAATCATAGTTACTTAGCAACTGCTTTGCTTAATAACGAAGTTGCCAGTCCCAACTCTAGTTTCTAAAAAAAAAGACTACTTATACTGGTAGGTCCACTAATCCAGTGGTCCCAACCTTTTGGCATCAGGGACCGGTTTCAAGGAAGACAATTTTTCCACAGATTTGGGGGGGGGGGGAAGAGGAAGAAGAGAAGGAGCAGATAACCTAGATCCCACGCATGGGCAGTTTTTCTTGCCTGCCGCTCACCTCCAGCTGTGCCACAGACTGGTACCGGTCTGCAGCCTGGGGACCACTGCCCTTGCTCTCAATATTTGAGTGTTCTAGACACCCTGTTTCCACTATAGAGAGAAGTCTACTGCACCTTTTTCGTATAATGGGGTCAGGGAATTTTCTGGGATAGAGGTCCATCTTGGGCTGTGAGGATGGGGAAATCATGCTTACTGGGAACTATTTTCTGCATTTATTTATGTGTTAATTGGCCAAATTATTGGTTGATGAACTGTAAGTACTGGGCAAGTACTTCTAGAGCTAGCGGAAGGTTTGATCATGGCCATTCATAGATAGCAGAGAAAACTTCCTTAAAAATATCTTGAGCGTGAGATTGGCAAAGAGCTCTTCATTGCTCTCCGGTGCTAGGATTGAGAGGGACAACTCCTACATACAGAGAGTTTGATTACATTACCTTGTTGAAGTCCGCATGTAGGAAAGGCAAGACCTGGGAATAAAATCTGATGTTGTAGAGCAGGGGTGTCAAACTTGCATTGTCACAGCATTTATCACGTGATGTATTGCATATTTCCCCCCCCCTTCACTAAACCGGGCATGGACACGGCCTGTGCGTGACGCATCCGGCCCATGAGTTTGATAGCCCTGTTGTAGAGCCTCCCTTCATTTTGGGCTCAGTAGTAGAAAGCTTCCCATGTGAATTCGTGTGAGTAGATGGTTGAGTCACTTGGATTCTATAATAGTATGTATAATTTTGTAACTATTTCTAGGTTGGTGAGATAAATCCAATCTCCTGGCACATAATTGTAACCAGGTGATCCCCCTTGATTTAGTCTATTGATGTCCAGAAGCTATTTTTAAGAAACTGATAGGTTGCCTAGATTGAAGTATCAGTTTCCTGGCACAGTTGGGTGCTATTAGCATACTCAATATAATTCTATTCTCCAGTTCTGAACTAGCCTCAGGAGCCTGAGTTAATGGGGATAGTGAAGGTTTGTAGCAGGTCTTTGGGCCATGTGGATTTAAAGATGTTTACTGTCCACAATTCCTGAGATAGGGAGTTTGAGATGAAGTTATTTTGCCTTGAGCTGATAGGAGCTATCAGAACATCCTTGTTAACTCAACATAATTTGCTTGAACATCCTCAGGCTGAGGTCCTTACCTGAATTCTAAACCTCAGCAGTTGAACTTATCTGATGCCCAGCCCAGAAATTTGTCTTATTCATAAGCTTTGATTTGCTCAGTTTTGGTGGTGCTATCTTTTCAGAAGTTCTTTTAGATTGTCCCAGAAGATAGAAGCTTTGAGTTTCCTATACTTGAACTATTTCTCCTAATGCAATCCAGCCTCCTCTCTTGGGGGTGATGTCTCTGATCAATAAAACCTGGTCAGAGAGCCAATTTTCCCTACCCAAAAGTCACAACCTGAGAGATGTCTTCACTTTCAGTGGAATTGATAGGTAGGAAAGGAAAGGAAATTTCAGTAATACATTGATACAGGCAATTATCGAACCCTGGAGACTATGAAAATGATAAGTTCCAGGCAGCTGGTTTGGAGGAATTATGTGACCACTTGTTGGATGGTCTCTTCTTTGCAAGGGAGATCAGATCTCTTTGGTGCCCAAGATGGTGTCCAGGTGCTGTAGGGCATGTGCTGGTTAACATATGCTCTTGACTCTTTGATGGTCTAATCATGATTCATATATCCCTCTTTGCCTGTTCAGTCAAAGGGAACTTGAGTAGCAGGTTATTTACCCAGAGGTACACGTACTCCCTATGATTTGAAGTGGACTATGGTAGTTACTGTTCTGAGAAAGCATAAATCACAATCTTAGTCCCAAAAAACCTCTTTTATTGAGACGGTTCACAGTCTGTGAAGATTCCGACAGATGTCTGCTCGAGTTGACAGTCTTTCAGGGTAATGTTGATAAGCACCCAGCTTTATCTTCCTTGAAAAGCTGCCAGAGACCTAAATGTCAATTAGTTTTGCAAGGCCAAACTGAGCAGAGCTTGAATTGACTATATGAACTAATTGCTTCCTGCAAAGGCTCACATCTGTTTGCTCCTCTTTTATGTCTTATGGGAGGGGCCAATCATCTCTAAGCCTTACTCCCAAGTCGGCCTTTTTTTTCTTAATTGTTCTTGCCTTTTGGCAGCTCTGTGCATGCGCACACTGGGAACAGGCTTACAATGTTCTTCTGCCTCGGTGATGTCAGATTCCGGAGGCAGCACATAACTACCAGATGGCCCTGGCCCCCTCTCTGCCTCCGATGTAGAGCCCTCGTCTAAGCCTTCCCCAGACTCCAGGCCTGGCCCACGTTCCTCCCCAACCTCCTCACTGTCCAAATCTGCTGCCAGCTCTGCTGGCGGGCCACAACAGTTACTATCTCCTTCATGTATATTCTGCGAGCTGACTGGCTAAATGAGAAATTCCCTGATGCTGAAGCCCAAGGAATGTTCTAGATTGAAATGCGTAAATGGGCCACCTGTTAAGTCTAGTAAGCCTATGGCATATATTTTTTTTTCTAAAGACTCACTGGTTATTCTTTTTAGATATTATTAATATGGAAAAGAAACCACAAACTCTTTTACCCATGTGATCTCTAAGGCTACTGAAGAGGCCACGTGGGTGACAGCCTGTGATTTGATGATAGCTTATAGTAGAGGTTTTGTTAGTTTATGTGACCAGGAAGAAATGACATTCTTGGGAGGAGGCGGCCTGTTAAATGTGTGAGATTATTTTTAGGAATGTGGTATGTTATATTCAAAAGTAGGGCAGTGTGGTGGTCATTGTTGTTACCTAAAGGAGCAGTGATAAATCTGCTGGTTCTTGGCAACACTATGTTGGCTTAATTCTCTTGAAAAGATTAAGCATGGAAATTAGAAATTAAATTTATTTGGCCTCATAAATCTCATAGAAAGCTCCAAGGAATCTCCTGACACTATGCTGATGTTCATTACATTGCTGACTACTAGGTTAACATCTCCAAAAAAGGAAAGTGAAAGCCATGAAAACTAAAGAAAGGAAAAGGAAAAAGTGTCATCAGGATGGTTCTAGCCATGGTAGCTTGCTGGCTTGTCTACTCTCTAGAGAAAGCCAGGATCAGGGAAACTACTGCCTTCCACAGGAAGTGACTTCAGAACCTTTTCTAGATCTCTGGAATCAGGAGAGGTGAATCTATTTCTGAATGCCCTTGCTCTGGTGTAGGAGTAGAAACAGGTATTTTCTGACTGCCCAGAAGAACATCTCTGCTGCCCAGACCATTCTTCACAGAACACTCAATGGCACTCCAAAGTTCCCCTAAGCTTTCAAATCACACCTGCCACTGTCGGGATAGAAACCACTATATTAACAATTCAGAACTGGACAGTAAAATAATGAAATTTAGGTTTTATTATACCTATAATTTATAATTATAAATCCTATGTTTAATTCCTGCCATATTACTCTATCAGCTAGGTCTCCATCTCTCTCTTTGTAGCTGTTTCTTAAATGTTTCAATAAATACATTAACTTATTTACAAAAAAGAAATAACAATCCAGTAATGGACAACAGCTCCACTACGCATTGGACGGGTGTTCGCAACCCGCGGCTCTGGAGCCGCATGCAGCTCTTTGGGCCCTCTGCTGTGGCTCCCTGTCCCATCACTGGTTGGCCCCGCCCCTCGCCCCTTTTATTTTGGTTATTTTTGGAAATCCGGGCTGGCTGAGGAACGATTGCCAGCTGCAGCGGCTTCCCTTTGGGCAACCCTCCTCCCCTTGTTATCCTCTGGCGGGCTGTGGCTGAGCCAGGAGTGTGCACATGCGTGGAGAGACCCTCCTCAAGTGAGTGCCAAAGCTCAGGAAAGGCGTGCGCGGGTCGGGCGGCCGCTCGCTTAAGGAGGGTCTCCCCGCACATGCACACGCTCCTGGTTCAGCCACAGCTGGCCAGGGGGTCACAAGAGGAGAAGGGGGGGAAAGGAGGGGGACGGTTGCCCGAAGGGAAGCCTCCACTGCTGCTGGTGATCTTTCCTCAGCCAGCCTGGATTTCCAAAAAGAAGAAATAAAAGGAGTAGCGAAGCGCCCCAAGAAGAGCTTGCTTGCTTGGCCCAGCGGTGGCTTTCAGAGAGAGAGAGAGTGGGAGAGGGAGGGGGGAGAGAGAAAGACAGAGAGACACGCACACAGTGATACACAGAGGGGGGGGAGAGAGGGGAAGATAGGAAGAGGGGGAGAAATGGGAAGATAGGGAGAGGGACAGAGAGATACAGAAGGGGGAGAGAGAGGGGAAGATAGGGAGAGGGATACAATTGGAGAGAGACACAGGGGAGAGATAGAGACGGGGGGAGAGAGGTAGAGGGGCAGAGATATAGAAGGGGGAGGGGGGAAGAGAGACATAGAGAATGGTTTTGTGGTGGGGGAGGTCATGTGACTGGGTGGGAGTGAGTGACATTGAGTTGGCCATGCCCACCCAGGTTTTGAGGCTCCCTGTGTTTTTTTTCCCCTGTGGGAAACGGGTCCAAATGGCTCTTTGAGTGTTTAAGGTTGCAGACCCCTGGTATAGGAGAAGCCAAGTCATACATCATGCAGTATCCCTTAAGCTTTCAGCCAGAAATGTGGCAAATAATGAAATCAAATTATTTGCTATCCAGCACCCAAAATTCCCTCAAGACATATCACTTGAAACATAATAGATAGTATAGTTCAAAGTTAGTAAATCAAATATAGTAAAAGTATGCACACAACAGAGCCAAACACACGAAAATATAACCAGGATTTTTAAAAAGCTCATAGCTCACAATTCTAATTCATCAAAAATGAGGCACACTTTTTGCCAATCTCATGGATAGCCAGGCACAGCATGCTTAATAAATGCCAATCTGAGATTTTTTGAAATAGAGTTCCTGATTTCTTTAGAATTTAAAAATATGATGGTTATATTTTTCATAATTATCACTTTTCTTTCCTGAAAAAAAATCTCAGACATTTACTAGCAATATCATTTTAAAGCACCCCAATTATTCTGTAAGGTCACTCTGATATAAAAGCTAAAATGTTAAGCGAGTGTCTAACATCTAACGTGCGTTATAATATTAAGACAACAGCTCTAACATCTCATCTGATAACCCCAACAAATAAATATATGAAGAAAAAAATCCAGTAGCTTAGATTAGTGTTTTCCTTACAATATACTTTAAAGGACCTAATGTCTTCCCATTGTTCTGGATTAAAGCACAAATTAACGTTCAGTTAGCATTTGTGGGGAGTAGAAGGAAAGCTGTTCCAAAATTTCAATGAAACAGAGCATCTAGTTCCAGCTTGCTCACTCCAAAAACATTGTATCTGATCCCCCAAACATGTATACAGTCATTTCTAATGTTTACCCTAAATTAACCATACAACAGCTCTATATGGAAAATCTCTATTTTTAATACCACTACTACAGATAATGAGGATGAAATTAACAGATGATTTCCTTGGGCAAAGGCATGGTAGAAAGCATGGAACTCTCTCCACAAAGGACTTCTATGGGTCTCCATGCTGATGGAGAATGTATTCTAAAGGTATATAAATCATCCAAAATACTAACCTGTCTCAGCTTGAGGCTGGGGCAGCTCCTGTTCTGTTGCTGGGACAGTTTCTGTGGCTTCTCCAGGCATTTCTGATAGAACAGGAACAAAATAAAAGGTAAGTTATTTTTGCCCTATTATCTTATCTATTATAACATTGTAGAATACTTTAACTACAATAAAGTCTTAATCTGTTGCAGTCACAATACCCAGGCAAACCACTTATATGGGAACTTTAGGCACTGTATTAAGATATTAATCCTAAAAAAAGCAAGTTACAGGTAGTCCTTGACTTACAACAGTTCGCTTAGTGACCATTCAAAGTTACAATGGCACTGAAAAAAGTGACATAACCATTTTTCACACATGACTGTTGCAGCATTCCCATGGTCACATGATTTACATTTGGATGCTTGACAACTGACTCACATTTATGACGGTTGCAGTGTCTTGGGGTCATGTGAGCATCTTTTTGCAACCTTCTGACAAGCTAAGTCTATGGGGAAACCAGATTCACTTAACAACAGTGTACTAATTTAACAACTGCAGTGGTTCACTTAACAAACGTGACCAGAAAAGTTGTAAAATGGGGCAAAACTCACTTAACAAATTTCTCACTTAGCAAGATAAATTTGGGCTCAATTGTGGTTGTAAACTGAGGAGTACCTGTATTTCTATATTCATCTAAAAGTTTTAAAGTATTCAAAAACACTGATCTATTTTTCATTTTTGTAGTCTTATAACTGCCTTATTATCTCAGTTAAATGGTCAATGCTTTTGATCCAGCAACAACAACAAAAAAATCAGGTCCAATTATTGGTCTGAAGTTACCAGTGTATATTCTGCCAGTTCAACTGTGGAAGTTGTATGCACCTAACACAAGCCTCCACAGCCAAGTTTCATTACTTGATATTGCTCATAGTTTGAAAAGCCTTTATACCAGTGGTTCCCAACCTTTTTTTGGCCATGCCCCACCTAAGCATCTCTAAAATCCTAATTGCCCCCCCCCCCCACACACACACCACATATAATTCTTACTTTACTCAAAAAGTGCACTCTACTCACATGGAGGAAGCCTAAAAGGCCATTAACTTGTTTTAAACAAGGTTCAAATCGCTATTAAAAATCAAATTGCCCCACGCTGGGAACCATTGCTTTATACCCACAACTTCTACCCCTTCCCTAATGAAGCCTGCTTCTGATTTAGCAAAGCTCCTTGTTTTTAATTTTATCACACCACCATCAAGGTGTACTTTTTACCAAGCCAACATCCCTTTGCAGGCCACTTCAGAAAGACGGGCTGAACAAGGGGACAGGTTCAGTATTCTCTCCCTTCCACTAAATATAGGATGCCTGCGTGTTTCGCCATCATTACAGTATTCCACTCATCGTCCTGCGAGTTTTATCACTAAATTTTTGCCCCGTCTTCGCTCAGTTACCTTGATCTGACGGGGCCGCCTTCCAAGAACAAAGTTTGTTGCATGTGTGAACAGCAAGGAGGTTCACTCTCCTGGCAAAAAAACCCCGTCGCCCTGCTTGGACCACATGCAGAAACTCTTAGGCGGTCGCTAAAGAGTCCAGCCCAACTCTGACCACAACTTCCCCCGTTCAATTCTTTATATAAAACAATATTCAGGGAAAAGGAGGGACCGTTTAGCAGAGACCCCAGTCCAGCCACCGACCACAACTGAGCACAAACCAGGACCGGCCCAAGAATGTTAAGTTCTCCCGTTTCCAAGGGGAAGACCTTATTGGAAGCACCTTATTGGAGTCTTCCTAAGGGACGGCTTCCTTCTCCCTGCGCTTTCATTACCGAACATCCTTCTTCCGTCCCCAAACTCCAAGGGAACCTCTCCCCTTGAACGGCAAGGCCGCCCTGACGCCGCAGAGCCCAGAGCGGAATGGCCCAAGCGGCCTATTCGGAGCCCCCGCCGAATCTAACCGTCCCAGGCCGCCCCGCCGCCCTCGGCCCATCCCCTGGAACCACTTCAGCTTTACCCATTTTAAGGGGCTCCCCACCGGCGGTGTTACGGAGCCGTCAGAGGCAGATGCCGGCGGATACAAACGGCGGACCTTACCGTACGAGACGATCCGGGTGCAAGATGGCGGAAGAAAAAGGCAAGAGAGGGGAGGGGCAGCCGACTTCCGGTATGCGTTGGAATAACTTCCGGGTCCTAAAAGAGTCTCTGTTTACCTCGTGCTCTTTCGGCAACGCTTCCGGACTCTTCAGAAGGTTGCATGTTCAAACTTCCAAGCAAAATTTGGTAGAAGTTCCTGACTCCAAACAAACAAAACAAACAAACAAAAAAAACCCCACCCATCAGTCATCCCAAAGGTGCTTTTTTTCAAGAGGCAACTGGACTTTCTGGTTTTTTTTCTTTGAAGACGTTTTGCTTCTCAATCAAGAAGCTTCAACCCATCATCCAGTCAGAGCTGAAGAAGCTTCTTGGATGAGAAGCGAAACGACTTCAAAGAAAAAAACCAGAAAGTCCAGTTGCCTCTTGAAAAAAAGCACCTTTGGGACAACCATGACCTGGATGATTGAGAATCTTCATAGACGCCCATCAGTCATCGACAGTAGGAAAAATAAAGATGAATTAGTTTGTTTATGAATAGATGGGTCTTAATATTTGCTTTATTGTGTAGCATCCATTTACTTATCCAATTGTTGCACCGCCCATTTCACTTAAGTGACATGGGAGTTTAAGGTACAAAAGTATAAATGCAGAGATTAAAAACAATGAAAGCCAGGTTAAAAAGCTGCTTAAAAGGTTAAAAGAAATGTAAGGAATACTCTCAAGCCGCCAGGGTTGTCTATCACTCTTTAGACCTCCATGCTAATTGGCAGAGCCAGGGTCCTGACAATCTTCCAGAAGGCCAAAAGAGTGGGGACCGTCTCATCTTTGGGGTAAGATGTTCCAAAGGGTGGGAGCATCAGCAGAGGAAATCTCTCTTCCTGGATCCCATCATTCAGAATTCTTTAACCAATGGGATCCACAACTTATCTTCTCTGCCTGACCTCGGCTGGGATGATCAATGTAACAGCAATAGCAGTAAGAATTATATATCTCTTTAAAGTGCTTTACAGCCCTCTCTAAATGGTTTACAGAGTCAGCCTATTGCCCCCAACAATTTTACTCACCTCAGAAGGAGGGAAGGCTGAGTCAACCTTGAGCCTGGTGAGATTTGAACTGCCAAACTGCAGGCAGCCAGCAGTCAACAGAAGTTTCCTACAGTACTGCACTCTAACCACTGCGCCACCGTGGCTCAGGATGAGATGGTTCATTTCCGTTACAGTGGTGATGAGTGCATTGTTGGGAGACTTGACCAGGTTAAGGATAAATCATGGAGAAAATCGATGTAGTTGCTAGGAGCCAAAAACAACTAGCTGGCATTAGTCAATTTCCAAGATTGAAGCCGGCCTTTGTTTCGGCTGCGAATTATGAATAGAAGAGTTGTAGTTAAGCATCTCTGGTGGTATCGTAACTGGCGGAAGCTGGGCTAGGGTATCAGAAAGATGCACTTGCCTCGAGAAAGTCAGCAGGGAGATATTGGATCGGTGGAGAAAATCCTAATGTATCTTACAGTGCGGTTGTGAAGATAAGGGGAGAAAAAACGGGAGAATATAGTTTTCCTGCGCTTGAAATAGATTTCAGACAGGATTTACTATCAATTTCAGGTTCAGGTTATCTGTAACCAAGATAACCAAGCTTATCTTGGTTACAGCAGAACCAGATTCAGTTCCCCAGCCTGAGGGATCCAAATGGGAGACTCCCTAAGTAGGTCCTGTTTTTCTTGGCCCTGGGAGAACTGTACAGAAGTGGCACTGTCAGGTTTCTATTAAACAGATATTACATAAATGCGCTTGCATTAAGTGTTTTGTAAACTCTGTGAGGTATCCACCTCAGCCATTTGATTTCACAAATTTTCATCCCTCCCCTTTTTAAAGTCTTTTTTTTTTAAAAGTGTCTTGGATAAAGACACTTAAAAAACATAAGGGGATATGTGGGAGATCTAGATGGGATGCCTTCTGAGCCTCCACACAAGATTATGTGTGGAGATGAAACAGTAATATGGAGAAAATAGTGGGCAAGAGGTTTTAAGTCTTCGCCTTTTTGCTGTTTTAACTTGCTGCTGCTTTTATTTAACTCTGGGTCCAGCACCAAAGTGGATAGAGAAAAGGTTAAAAGTTTAAGTGAACTGGGGTAGTATTAATGGAATTTGCCTTTTGCTTTACATGTTAACAAGATAAATGTACTGTATTGTTGAATCAGTAATTACCCCATGTCTGATTTACTTCTCAGACATTTAAAGTTAATGCAAGCCTAGTCTGAAATTTTGACCTGCCCGTCATTTTTTTCAGTCCAAGATGTGTAATATAAAGTTATTTGAATCAATATCTATATTGGACTTGATAGGGCACATTACCGGAGTAATGAAATGCATGCTGTAGCAGTCTTGATCTCAATGGGAATTAATTCCAAGTAAACATGCATAGGATTAAGTTGCAAGTAAGGTTCTTTTCAATAGGCTGCATGGTATGATTTCTTCCTGTTCTAGAGCATTATAATCTCCGCAGGAGACTTTTCCATGTTGACATGTTCACATAAACCTAAATCCATATGCTAATCATGTTGCATGTCAACAGCAGCTTCTATAATCTTGAGTGTCCTATACATCTATGGACAATGTACCGCTCTTCCATTCTTCCATAATAGGGTGTTTTAATTTTCCGTGCTCTAAACCAGTGAAAATACAATGGGAATCCCATTGGTTCTTTTATTTATTTATTTGTTTGTTTGTTTGTTTGTCGCATTTCTATGCCAGACTGGATTTTCCAGTCCTCTGTCAGTTCCCCATTGCTCCAGGATCAAAGTTGCATATTTGGATGTAGGAATAAGTTAACAAAGCATGGAGATTCTTTTAAACTTTAAATCTGTGTATCCAAGATCTTTTGATATGATCTTCTGCTTGTGAGAAAAGTACCCCATAAATCATTACACAAAACAATGCAATTCTTCAAAAGCCTAGTAGTACTCCTTCATGGTGGTCCTTAGTCTTCTGTGCATACTAACTATCCACTGAGATAACTAGTGAAACAGGTGTTTTGGCCAATATCCTAAATGGTGTTGTTCTGTGTGCAGACATACTGAACTGTGAACCAGCATAGACATGCTGAACCTTTCAATGGCCAAGACTGCTTTGCAGGGTGGTGTTAGAAAAATATGCAGAGGCCTTGTATGGAATGCCTATTGCCCCAAAGCCCCAACTACACACAGCCAAGGAAACCAAGAAAACAATTATTGGGTCAACTGACGGAGTTAAATAAATCCCTTCCAGGCACATGCTTCAGGCTGTTGTATATTCTACAAGCAATTCCGATGGGTGTGTAAGGGTTAAGCAAACTTGTCACTTTTCAAACTTTTTTTTTTAAATGAAACATTTTTTTAAAAATAAATTATGAAGATTTGGTGCTTAAGTGTAAAAGAAAACAGACTAAAAATGAGTTAAAATGATATCATTTGCACAAAATTAGAAAAATCAAAATACACCAACAGAGGAAGAATTGATAAAAAATATCTTAAGAGTGTGCCGAGATGGACAAATTAACAAAAGAATTTAAAGAAAAGGAAGATACGGAATACTATATAATATGGAACAAATGGTACAACTGGCTGGAGATTAGAAATAGTAAACAATAATGAAAGGGGAGAAATCATAAATGTAAAAGGTTTATAGGACAATGTATAAAATGTACAAAATTAATATAATTGTTAGGAATTCTAATGTAAATAAGAGAAAAAGGGACAAGAAGGAAAAGTACAGTATAAAGGGAAATCGGGGAAGATGTAAACACTAGAAGTTGACCGTTACGAAATAGTTGTAAAAAAGGAATTTATATTATGTGTTTTGTATTTGTTATATTGTGTTGTGTTATAAAAATTTTTTTAAAAAAGAAAAAAGAAGTTAAAATGAAAGAAAAAGAAATTAAGACTGTAACAGGCACATAGGTTTTACACATCTATAGAACCACCTTTTACAGTAGCCCCCCCTTTTTTTTTTAACAGAGAAGGGACCATTCCGGAGGTCCAATCAGACCAATTTTCATCTGGCTAAGAGATTATAGAAACTAAAGGACAACTATTTATTTTAAATTTATTTATTTTAAATTTATTTATTTATTTATTTATTAACTATCTCTGCTATCGTAAGAAAGACTGCTTTATTGGAAGTAAAATAGAGCTGAAAAGTCTGACTTTTAAGTATTACATTAGATGGCTGCATTTTACTCTTATATTTTGCCTGATTTTAAATTATGGACAGATTTTTTTTTTTTTTTTTACTGTAACACGGTCGTGCACTGGCCCAGCAAAAATTGCCACTGATAGCGTTTATCGGCATGTGGACCTCCATTCTCCCCCACCCGTAGTATATATAAAATTTTATGACTCCTTCAACCAATTTCAACAAGGATGATGTCATCTGAAAGCTATTGTTTGCAATACTTGTATGTTTTGATTTTAGAAATCCCCGATATACAGTTTTACTTTGAAAAAGTAAAAGCTGGCCTGGAGGCCGTGCGGGTCTGGATGGGGAAGAACAGGCTCCGACTCAATCCCTCCAAGACTGAGTGGCTGTGGATGCCGGCGTCCCGATATAGTCAGCTGGTGCCATCGCTGACTATTGGGGGCGAGACATTGGCCCCCACGGAGAGGGCGCGTAACTTTGGTGTCCTCCTGGACGCACGGCTGTCTTTAGAAGAGCATATGACGGCCGTGGCCAGGGGGGCTTTCTATCAGGTTCGCCTGATACGCCAGTTGCGCCCCTTTCTGGATCGGGACTCCCTATGCACGGTCACTCATGCCCTCGTTACTTCCCGCCTCGACTACTGCAACACTCTCTACATGGGGCTCCCCTTGAGGAGCACTCGGAGGCTCCAACTGGTGCAGAATGCGGCCGCGCGGGTACTTATGGGGGCGACATGGCGCTCCCACGTGACACCTCTCCTGCGCAAGCTGCATTGGCTTCCAGTGGTCTTCCGAGTGCGCTTCAAGGTGCTGGTTCTCATCTTCAAAGCGCTCCATGGCTTAGGACCCGGTTATTTACGAGACCACCTTCTGCCTCCGATAACCTCCCACCGGCCAACACGCTCCCACAGAGAGGGTCTCCTCAGGGTGCCGTCTGTCAGGCAATGTCGGCTGGCGACC